CTTAACATGAAAATAAACTATGAATGCCTCAACCATGAGGAGAGTGGTAGTGTTAACCCATAAATGCATGTGAGAAGTATGACTTCTCAGGTTTTGAATACAAACGAGATATAGATGCTTGATACAGAAGAGCAAGGTTCCAGCGATTTGATTTGGCAAAGCATGTTTAGTGTTAGAAGACAGACTTCATTGCTGTTGTGAATGCATGAGCCATGAACTATTCATTTCAGCTCTCACTGAGAATTTGTAGGGTTGATCGTTACAAGTGGTGGAAAACAGATCACAATTTCCGATTTGATAGGGAGAGAAATGACATGTCCGAGCATTGCTCAGGTTCTGTGCTCACATTTAACCATGCTTAACTTGGCTGATGTTCCAAGCTGTCTAGACTTCAAGTGCTGTTTTTTCTTTTTTTTTCTTTTCTGAGAAGAGTGAGGGAGACCATTTCCATTGTGTGTGGGTTTTGTTTTGGTTTAGTTTTTTTGTTGTTTGTTTGTGGAGTTTTTGTGTGGTTTTTTGTTTTGTTTTATTTCAAGTCAGACTAAAGTTTGCAGTTTTTATCCCGAGAATTCTGTGTTTTCCATGTGGGTACTTTTACTTCTGGATTACCTCCATATAATACCTTTCCAGGAATCTTCTTACTTGGGAAGCATTTACCTGTATTTCAGAATTTATCTGAGGCACGGGGTTTAGTGTTTTGCTTAGCAAAAATTAAGTGGGACTTGTTGATGCAATAAAATTTGGAAATTCTGCTTTTTCATCTTATGCTTCTTCAGTTCTAAGTTTGGGTTAGAAGCAGTAATACCTACCTGCAGGGTGATGTTGTAAATGTTTTGGCTTGTATGTGTAAACGTTCCTGTTCAAAAGAATATTTGCATTTTATGTTTCTTAAAGCTAGTTGTATTGTACAGCAATTGTATAGTTGTAGTGGAAAAGTTTGATTCTTCATTTCTGTTCAAAATTTTGAGAAACTACAAAGGCTTACATCAAAAAGACTTGTGTAGTATAGAAGGAGAAATTCTGGAAAAGGCATAATGTGCAGACGGGATAGTTTAACCTGTGTTCAGATATCCCTGGCTGTTGGCAAAGGGATGTGAATTATTTGTTACTCTAGAATTTTCTCTACAATAAATTTTAGTCTTTTTATTGGGAAAGTATCATTGCAAATGTGCAATGACTAAATTATATCCTCATGCCTTTCTAAGTGTGTAACTGCAGATGTGGCTTTTTTCCAATCAGAAGTGTAATGAAAATGAAAAAAAGGATGAATTTTAATGAATATGCGTTCATATGAACAATTGCATTAACAAATACAAAAGTCAAATTATTTCCTCTTTGAAACCAGATGTATTATAGCTGGGAATAGGTGTGGGAGGGTTAAGTTTGCTACGAAGTTGTCATTAGGTCTCCACCTCTTATTTTATTGATTTCTGGGAGGTAGGGTTGTGTTTCTAACTTGTGCACTTTGAACTTCAAACCTGATTTTTCTGTTCTTGAGAACGGAAAATGTTGGAGGCTCAAATTCATATGACAATGTGCAGAAGAAATTTATACTTAAGTTTCTTGACATTAGTGAAGTGTAGTATTTCCACATAAAAGTTCAGAATAAAGCAGAAAAATAGAACAGACTTCAACAACAAACACACTCTGTAAGCTTAAAGGCTTGTCTTCCTTTACTGATTTACTTAAAGTAAGTAGGAACTGTAAAAGTATAACCTATGTTATCTCTCCTTATTGGATCTAGGTTTTGTACATGAGTGTAGATGTTGAATATTACCTTTTTGGCGTCTAGAGTAAGTGTTTGTAAGTAGCAGCATTGGAGAAGTGTAAGCGATTGTCTAAAGATTTAAAAAAAAAAAAATCCTACAGAGATACTTTCCTCTGTTTAGTTTTGGTTTTAAACATCAAAACACGATGATACTTTGTAAATATTAAAGGAAGTTTATTTATGTTAAAACAAAGCTATTTCCATCATGATTAAACTGTTCTCAGAGCACAATAGAGGGTAATTTAGGAGCTTTATCTTACATCCTATTGGTGAACACATGAGCAACTGTGCTGCTCCTTCTCATTAAAGACAAATAGAAATACAAATAATATGTATTAGCATAAGTAGCTTTCCATGCTGGTGCAATTTTTTTAGTCCTGTGTGTTCTTTAAAATGATTTTTTTAAAAAAACAAATGAACAACAAAAAATCCCTACCAAAACCAAACTTTGCTCAGTTTGACTTTCTACACTTCAAACAAACTGTAATCTTTTCTGCTCAACTAGCTTTTTCTTTTTTACTTAGTCATGGTTTCAACATGTAGCTTTCTGAGATGTTGCATAAATTTAGCAGACTTGGAGCATGTTGGGCTGAAAAGCTTTGCAGTCTTTTCAAAAGGTCTTACAGACTTGTTTACCAATCCCAAATGTTACAATCTGCTACGTTTAAGAGCGTATATAGAAGATGTGCACTGAACAAAAGTTTTGAGATAAATCAAAAATCCTTTGGTAGATTAGGTAGAAAGCTACACCAGTCTACTTTGGTTTTTAAAGGTTAAAATTAAATAAAAAATTAGCAAATGCTGGAACTATTTGCCTGTGCAGCTTTGAATTTAAGGCCTGAGTACATATGATTTTTGATTTTAAAACTTTTTTCTCTTCAGACATGTTTATGTGTCTCCATTTCCCTCACAGGACACTGCCTCAGTCAGTGCTTGAGGTAGGTTTGCTTTAGTGATAAATTTGAGCTATGTAGGAGGGACCTCTAGTGTCTCCATAATCTGGGCTTCAGTTACTGCAGAAGGTGATGTTTACTGAATAAAGGACATGAAAACAGATGTTGTCAGTGTTAAGTATGCTGCCTTGAAGAATTGGGCTTGAATGCTGCCTTTGCTAAGTAGTTGCAAATGGTAATGAAGAGGTAATGCTGATGTTTACCATCTTAATGGTAACGTTAACATTTCAGTTAAGACTAGTCACTGTTCTTTATTTTGTGGTGCTTAACTATGGCCTGATTAGCAGAAACGTGCGGAATTGCTTTTGCATCTGAAGTCAGTGGAAGCTGTGTTGTGAATATAGGAGTTTTTTTATATGCTGATGTATACACTGGAAAAAATGATCTTTACAAGTTGACACCCAAAATTAGTGGGTAGTCTTGACTTCTTGTACGTTAACTTAATCCACAAGAAAAAAGTCAGGATTTGTATTGTCTTTATTTAGATGTCTTTCACCTTCGCAGTACTTCAAGTATGAGAGCTATAAAGCAATCCTTGAAGAAATGATAGCTGTGTATTAAAACAAAGCATAAAGCTGTATGTTAAACCACAAGAGAAATGTATTGAATTTTTGCTGTAATACAATGAAAAGGAAGTGTCCTCTATTCATGCTTAGAATAATGAAAACAGTTGTGGAGAAGTGAGGAGAAAGTGAACAGTCTCACAGTTTTTCTGAAAATCAGGAAAGGACTGAATTAAGGATGCCTTTAACTTTTGATGTTTCGGTAGTGAAATACTTACAACTTCAGTGTTGGTCTTAAAGTATATCTCTTCATATCGCTTCTTAGCTTTTAAAGCAAACTACAGATTGAAGTTTCATATGCAGTATTCACTTGATAACCTGTGGTTCATGGGTGGAATTAGGTTCTTCTTCCTTGCAGTCTTTATTGCTTGAGCTATGGCAGTAATCCACAGTAGTAGTAGGTTGCTGTTCCCTGTAGACCAGCATTAGAGTCTTTGCTGGTAAGTTTTGAAAGCTTAATGACAGGAATGTTGTAACTGGAAATATGTTTAAGTGAACATGGACTACTCCGCCTGTGATCTTTCTGCTGTAAAAAAGCACTGCTCCCTTAGTGGGTTTTTTCTTTTTTTTTTATTTTTTACTTTGACTTGACACAATCCTTGGTTTTCTCACTCTAGTAACAGGCTTCTTGGCTACCCAGTTGTGACTTCCCCTTCAAGATTGTGATTCTCCTCTTGTGCTGACTTCACATCAA